GGTTAACTATGCTGCAATCATTTAGTTACAACACCCCTCTTCTGTGGAACTTGTGTAGAGCTATTATAACTCCATTCCCCGGGAGTGACCGCTAACACAGGTTTGACTATATCAAACTCATAGACAACGATAGCTATATAAAGTTCAACATTACCTAATATTATCCAAAAAATTCTTAACAAACGCAACATAAAAATTCCCATGCTAGCAAAATAAATGCTAATAATTAAAAAAAAAAATGTCATCAACACTTGATTGAAGTCCTAATGAAAACGGTAAATGAAATATCATAGATCCCAACTAAGCTTAATCGTGAATTAATTCGTTCCCTTTAATGTTTTCTTTTGTGTATTTTTTTTTTCAAACCAGCATTTAAGTATTACATAACCTGTACAAAGGCTGACTCCTGCACATGATCGTGCGAGGTGCCTGCAGCAAAAAAAGAAATGTTTTGGTACAGTTTCGTCATACTACTATAGAGGACCTTAAAGCAGCGTAAGGTGTTTTTCACTGACTAATACTGGCACTATTTAGGAGAAAAAAAGAGAAAGCTTTTAACAGACAGCTTTCTTACGGCGGATTCGGGAAAAAATTACAAACTGTAGAAAAAAATTTCAGTGTGAATACATTTCAACTAATGGTTCAACGCACGCTTCAATTATTTGTTGTATATTATGGTATATTGTAGAAAAAATCACTGAGATTAACACCACTTACTAAGTTGGTTTTCGAAAGAACGAGACCTTTTCTAAGCTTCGTTGCTCACTGATGTCTTTCCATCGTAAAGAGAGTTGATCTGCTAGTCACCGAGAAGTCAAATTATTTCGCTCGACCTCGGCAAATGATTCAGCTCTTGCAAAAAACCTTCGTAACATTATTCGAAGTGAATAAATAAATTATCTATTCTCTCTTCAATGAAGTCTATTGTTCTCCTAGTCTATAATAATTTTGTTCGTAAAATCTTGTTCCATTATCTTGAAAATAACTTATGATGGAAGCGAAGTTAAGTAACAATCTCTTGAGTATAAGTTTTGTGTATCGCTTGGATGAAAAGTGAACAAAATATCGCTAAGTGAAACTTCGTACCTTCAAACATTGCGACTTAACAATTTTATCCCGCGTCTGTTTGTTTCGGGCTTACATCGAAATAGCGAGAGTGGTTATTACTTTCCTCTTCATGTCAGATATCTCCACTATCTATTTCTTGAAAAACGTGATCACTGCTTAAAAAAAGAAATATTTACTAGCAAATTGGATTCTATGTCTCCCTTCTGACGTTTAGTCTGGGAGAATTCCGAGAAAAAAGAGCATATGCAAAAATGCAATTGGGTATCGAGGAGAGGTCTCAGGGCTTAGTTTTCAGAAGTTTAGAAATGCTCCTCATGTCTCTATATATCTAAAGTTTAAAGACAAAAAAAGGTTTTATTTCAAAAGGAATACAAAAGTACAAAAGGAGAAAATGATAGGTTGCTAGAAGAAGAGCACTCAGTGCATATTGTATAAACGACTTCGTTCTTGATATAGTTAATTAATTTAATGACAATTTCAAAGGCAGAACTTTTAATGACTGGTTTGAAGCAGCAGCAATAAAAAGCGGCTCCGTCGGTGGTACACTTGATCAATCAACAAAAGAATCTCAAAGGCGGAAATAGCTAACGCAAGTTTATAAATCACTGGAGCTATTCGATCTATATACCTGTAAATGTGCACTCCAAGGCACATGGTTTTAGATTTACCTGTATCACGGTTGTATTGGATAAAATCTGCTTATCTTTGTAGTCTACCGCCTCTAATTTAAAAACCTGCGCCACCGATCAAATTATGCCAATCACTTTCATTTTTTTTTTTACTCTTTCTTTATCACACACACACAATGGAAAAAAAATGATAATAAAAAAATAAAGAATCCAGGCATTTCTTTACGCGGCTGCCAGTTTGTGCTGTAGAGACAAGAATGATTGACGCTTATACGAGGCAAGCATAACTATTAAAACAATACTCAGATATCAACCTGTTCACTGAAAGTGTCTCGGGTTGTAGTTTTATCATTCAAAAGGCTGTAATGATTATCATTCTATTGTATGTAGTCGTTTTGTTTGCGTTTATGCTTGCGTTGACCGTTTTGACCGTCAACCATGATCTGTAATCTCTCTTTTGATTTCGGCGAGAATCGGTTACTTCCGACTGGTTCTACAACTTAATCAGATAAAATGAAAAGCGGAAAAAAGAGAAGCAAGAAATAATAGTAAGAAAAAAAACGTTAATTCGGTAAGCGCTTCAAGTTTGCGTGAGTGTTTACTGGTGTTTTGCTTTGTTTACAGAAAACCCATTGAGCACTTTATGCGCCTCTTCACTTTCTACTTTTGCGACTGAACCAGGAGCCCAGGATCTTGAATGCACCTTCGAAAACAAAACTGCTTTTGTACGATAAATTTCTACTTCAGCAAGTTTCAACATAATTTCAGGCTTAGCAAACTTCATCGAACAGACGATCCGCAGATGAACAAAAAAATTTTCCCTTGACAATTCCATAACTCCACCTGTCAGTTTTCGAACAAGGAAACTTGCGACAGGAAAACGTGTCGATATGAAAATAAGATCGTGAAGATGACTCGTCAGAGACACTTGCCAAGTGATGTGTTAAAAAAGGATAAAGGATTAGAGGAAGCTCCACTCTGGTAAAATTTCCTTGTTGAAAAACTTCCCCTAGTTTACATATTTTGCGGAAAAAATGTCCATCACAAGTCCTCCACCCGAAGAAAATTCCCGAGCGGAAATATAATTCAAAAAGACTCCTCAACGATAAAAGAAAAACAAAACACATTAATAAAAGAAGAACAAACCATAAAATTCTACGACTAAGGGCTCTTTAATTAAAGTGATAGCATGGAAAGCGGTGGATAACTGTGACAATTAGTTTTATTTTACTTACGCATGCCTAGAATCCTTTCTTCCATTCACTGTGTCTACTACAGCGTCGGTTCTCGCGTCAAATTAAATGATATTTAGCTGATACAACTCAACGGACCACAGGAAGAAAAAAACAATTCTCAGCAAGGCGCAAAAAAAGTGGTACAGTTGCGGAATTGTCCGTTGTACCATGCAGTGAAGGCCTTAGACTGGAAATCTTCTACTTGGTGATATCAAGGGTCTCTTGGCTGTTTGTCTTAATTTAACTTTTCATTTAAGTGCAACCTTAAATTCGTAGCTATTTTCCCTTTCGAAATAGCAAATAGTCAGAATCAAGAGTGCGCACCTCGTTAATTTCTCAATTAAACGTAAACACAACGAACTACTTAATGAATTTTTTTAAAAATTGCGCTGATTGCCGTAACCGGGGTGATACTCTTCCTCAATCACCTACATTTCCTCGATACTTCATTTTTGGTAAGAAAGCACTAACTAACTTTGGTGAGCTAGGATGTTATATATGGGTTGATAAAGCTTGTGTGGACACCCGAATCTATTTGAACCTTTCATTGTCATTACGCAACCAGAGGCTTTGTGGATACCATACGGTTCTCTAACTGTAAAGCAAGGAAACATCGCTTCAAGAAACTACTTCCTCTTAACGGAAAAAGGCAGCATAAAAAGAAATATAGCCTTGAGATACCTCAATAAAACACCCCACAAAATTTGTGTAAATCATCCAAAGGTATTGATTACAATATAGGTGCTAATTAAATTCGATGACTCGTTGACATCTTCCTAAAGTAAATCAAATCATGTTCGCAATTATGAATTGGTTTAAAGGTTAGAGCAAGGCCTTTTTGAAAACTTCCGTTTTAACTTATCCGTGGTGAAGATTGGTTTAAAAGGAGCGTAACTTAGTGATAAATAAGTGGGAGATTTGTATTTCTTTACTGTCGATAATTTAAAGTTATTTATAATTGCCTTCATTATTTCATTGAATGGAATTCTGAATCAATTTCAGCCAAAATATCTACACGGTGATAGAAAAGAGAACAAGAAATTCTTCGAAAATAGGGCCAGGATCTCAAAAAAAAATTTAAAATCACCAAACAAAGGAAACTTCTCAAATTAACAACTGGTTGTTATGACCATATTAACCGTCTTAGGGGAGAGAATGGCTTAATTATAAATGAACCACTTCCCTGGCGCCAAGTATCAAATGACGCACTTAACTCTAAGCTATGCCAGATGTTCGGGAAATTTTAAAATGGAATATCTTAGTTTATGCTTTTGTTTCGAATAAAAACAATCAGTAATTGATACAAGCAGGACAAAAGTATCACTTCAATGATATTGAGGAAAAATAGGTTGGCGTGCGGAGATTTATGTAGGCGAATAACATCATTCCGCAGAAACTGTCCGCACTTAAGGACGCGATCTATCTAGGGACCTAAACCACCAGCCAGGTCAGATGAGGTGAAACTTACACTATCTTCTCCAAAAGATGTCGTAATAAAGCGCGTTTTACTACCCTTTTGCAATAGCGCATCAGTGCAAGAAATGACAAATATACAACTAAGGCATATGTTGAATCATAGAAAACAAAAATATATAGCTACGGAAGAAATTGTTTGTTTCTGAGGCCTCAGTTCTAGCTAGATGCTAGTTAAGGCTGCAAAATTATATTTGTTGTCAATGGATCTGTTGACACGACGGATTAGAAAAATGTCACAACTGGAGAGGAAAAACTAGGATGAAGACATGCTATAGATCCATATCTGCACTGCAAGCTCTGCTTAGGAACAGAGCAATTTTTAAGAGATTTTAGAGTCACATGTCTTTCGATTTCTATAAAACAATTAGATCTTCATTTGCTTGGGTATGTCCTCCAAGCCAAGTTCTCCGCGCGGTACCTATTATCGCTAATCGAGCGAGTCTATTCTCCTTCGTCTCACAATGCTTAGAGTCGCTAATTTTATTCTTTGAAAGACTTATGTATAAACGTTGAGTACAAGTTGTTGGGCAGAAAATATGACTTCATGCAAAGCTAATAATCTAGTTACAAACATATAGATTTTAGAGTTTATGCTAGAGCGGATGTCGTGTTTATGTTCACTACATTGCGAGCTGCTGAGTTCTTGCCAGCGTGCTAATCTCTCAATTATACCCAAGTTTTACAGCTGTTCATATGGTGTATCTTGGTGAAACGTTTCGAAATCTTATGTTGAAATATAATTCAGTGAAGAGTTTTCGAAATTCCGGCGTTTGACTATCTCTTACTTTCGTTCCCGATCAGGATCCAGACAGTTCAGGGTCAAAGCCTACTCGCGACCCTTTTCACAATTCTGACAACTCTTAAATACTTGTTGCTAGGTATAGCAGGCTGCTGTGTGGCTCAACGGTTTAAAACATCTCGTGTCATATGAAAAAGAGGGACGCTAAAGAGGTGTCTAAAATACCTGGGAAATTGTTTTTCGCTTCAAAAAGTGGCTTTGTAATCCGTTTAGCTTGTTAAATATTCATTGCAAACACGAAATGCCTGTTTAATGTCTTAACAATGCGTGTGTTAATTTCATTTACGCTCTCTCGAGAAAACTGTTCAATTGAACCAAGGAACAACGGGAAACTGTGAACCTCTTTGTTCTTTGAGGTAGGTAATGAAAAGCCAATAACAAGAAGAGGATAAACCAAACTGTGCTAGAGCTTTCAGTAAGTTAGAGGTATTTTGCGATTCCTTTTACACTATTTTAAATAACAATTTTTCATGGAACACGTAGGAATGTAAGACCACTACATTGCGATTCCCTTCGAAACTCTGGCAAAATTTGATTACTTGACTTTCGATTCTCAACAGTGCTTTTATTTGTCAGATGTGATACCGAAAACCTTACCATATTTTAGGGATACCTGAATAAACCCTTATTTGTACTCTTTTTCGATACGTTAGGAGGACCAATGTCACTGGTCTGTGTCATAACTTTAGAAATAAACAAACATATAGGAGCGTGTGCTCCGATTACCCTCAAACTTAAAACGTGATCTACAAACTGTTCGTCACGAAGACATTCCTAGGAATTCATGTCTGCTAGAGAAGCACGTAAATTTTCGAAAGGCAGTTTAATATGTATCTGCGCCTTTTTTTCGAATCAAGATCTAAAAATATCGACCACCATAGAAACATGAGTATCGTGTCTCTAAAGGCCAGCTTATCTCGATCCTTCAAGGTATCAAATTTTGTGGTATTTCCCTTCAGGGCTTGTATGACATTTATAAGCTGACACAAACGTTTATTGCAAAGGCTTGCTGACAGACTTTCTTCTTTATTGGAGACACAATGTCCCGCTTGAAACACTAGAAAGCTATTTGATAACCCCACATAATGTGTCTTTTCGCGCTAGGTATTATGTCCTTTAAATTATGCTTAACCTCCGAACCTGCTTCTTGTTTTGAAATACAACTGAAGACACACTCTTTAACTTCTTTAAAAAAGCAACTGATTCGACAAGGAATAAAAACTCTCTTACAAAATGGAATGTTTGGTAGAATCACGCCTCTCACCTCAATTATTAAACCACCTATGCGATTCATTTCCTCTTCAGGATATTTTTGACGCTTCTTGAAAATATAATCGTATTGTTTTTCGAATTGTCTAAGAAACCAAAACAAATGTTGAATGGGGCAGATCGTTTTAGGTCACAGTTTTCCTATAATGTGCGAGCTACCCGATATGAAAGCAGATAGTGTTTTACGAATGACTCGAAATGCGATCTTTTCGTTGAAAATTATTTGTACTCTAAGAGAAAAAAATGACCTTTCAGAAATGTTCACTATACTTCCATTTTCTTAATTTTTTCTTCACATGGATAGGCTCTGTAAGTTTCAAAGATGTCCTCGTATTTATATTTCTTTATACGTGGCATAATTAATTCCACGAGTTATCCCTTAAACCCAGTACGCTGATTGAAGGGTGTTTCTTTACTGTCAGGTGTCAAAGAGACTTAACGCACTCGTACAGCCGCCCCACCAGGACGAAGAGCTAGAAGCTACAGGCGATCGACCATATCAGTTGCCAAAACGGAAAAATCGCAAACGGTAAGAACTTAGTATTCTTTAAACCTTGTTATCATCAGTATAAAATTAAGAAGAGGTTTTTTTATGGGTTTGACGCCTCTCGGTTGATTTTTCGTTAGCTGGGAGCCAGTTAATTATGATTCGATATCGCGTGGCAAATCGGTCTCACGTATCACGCAAGTTCAAAACTTATCCCGAACCGCAAGAACACAACTTTGTAAGCGAGGATTTGATTTAACAACATTTGTATTTTAATGGAGGCAAAACGAAATTGGATTGGGTAAACATGCACTTGTAAAGGTGTTCCCGACAAGGGCTACTCTTATTAAGAGATGTTCTAGTTTTCGCTTTAAACATGATTAGAAATAATGGTTTTGTTATGTAGCTTCGTTCCAATTGCTTTACTCGAATTCTTATAACACAAAGCGAGACAAGCGACTGATCGTGCCATCAAGGGAAAATGAAAGTTGGAGTAAATAACTCGCGGGAAATTGCATGAATTTTTAAACCATCTCCCACACTTTCCCATTTTCAATATCTTGTTTACAAGAGAATGATTGTGGCGATCACCAAAGGCACTTGTCGTAGTTCAGATCTACAAAGTGTGCGCGGTTGTGTCTTTGGATAATAGGAATGTATTGGAAATTTTTAATGTGGATGGGAATGAACCTTTTCTGCGAGAGGCCGGTAGCCGCCCGACCACGGTAGTCAGTTTGTACAAAGTACTTGTTTGGTTCACAACTGGTGGTAATTTTTCGCCAACCTACCAAAAGAGCCTAAATGAAATTTGCCACAAAAAAAAATTCGACACTCACATCAAAACTAGTTTTTATTATTTGATCTTAAGCAAAATAATCGAGAGAATTTAAGTTTATCTCGCGGGTCCTAAATTCAACAAAGAAAGCCAGACGAGGACCCTGTAACAATGTTGGTTCAAACACCCTTGGCTTTAATAACTCATTCAACGGCAAATATGGAAGGCAAATGGGAGAGTACATTCTCGTATTGAGTCAACAACAAAAATACATTTTGCTTCTACACACATGTCCAGCTTGTTTGCCTATTAGTTGTAATTGTTGCATATGTTGAATCGATTTAAAAGTACTGCAGCTTAATACTGTCATGGAATTGTTCGGAAACACAGTGTTAAAACTTTAAGACTAGCGGGAGTTGAATTATCTCATCACAGCTTTCCAGGGAATAAAAAGTGGTAATTTTTATCCATTCTTGAAGGGAGACTCCGAACTATCAAAATCATAACAACCAAATTCTTTCAGTAGTTTATAAATGATAGTTTATATTATGATAAACGGCTTTACCAATTACCTCTGTTATCCTTTTTTAGACTCATTTCATGTGCGAGAGAACTAAGACCCTAACCATTTACCGTGTATTTTAGCCGCATGTTAATCAGGAACGACGAAAAATAAACCTAGAACTAGATTAATTAACACCAGTACGGCAAATCTCCTAAAACTACTTTTGGTTGAAAGATATGTGAGAAATTTCACACTTTTAACATAGTTCTTCGAAAGTTAAGTAGTTTACATTGTGAAGGCAACAATACTGTTCTCTGAGATTTGTAAGATGGCATTTGGTTTGTAAATAAAAAAGAGCCCAGATGAAATCGTAATCCATGGTTAAGAGAAGGCAAAAAAGAAAAAGAAAATGAAAACGGATTAACAATGGGGTTAGCTTGTTGAGCGGGAAGCATTTTATTATAGGATAAACAACTAGCGAACAGAAAGACGACAGAAGAAGATTATGAAAACGTTAACACGCTTTTAAATTAAATCTTGGAAAAAAAAAGAAATCCAGAAAAGAATGTTATTCCCATCCTACAAAATAACCGGCTACCGAAAGAGAAAATAGAAGATAAACGAGGCCTTTTTCATGTAACTTAATACCCAGCGTTAAAAGCACGTTTTCAACGCTAAGGAACACAAAGGAGAGTGAAATTATGGTTTTCGGCGAAAATGAATGCGGATAAAACCAAATGTGGACAAAAGCACTGACTGGTTTACATTTAGGCTCTAATTGTATCCTTGACATTTTCCCGGTGGAGAGATTTATCGAAAGATACCAGCGAAATTGAAGGCGGGGCCATCCAGAGGTGAAGGAAAATACGCAACAAACTCTTAGCAATAAATCTATTAGTGGTGATCTGCGAAATTCAGTAACGCAACTCTTCTACCTAGGGTAAAACCTCTAAATGTCAATATTGCCAACGCAGCCCACACGGGCGATAACATCTGAGCTGATATCAAGGTAACCCTATATCGATATATCACAACTGGGAAATTACGAAGGCTACATTGACAGACATGAGGGCGGCTTGGCAAACCATCTGGTGTAACCAAATCGTAAAATAAATATCCAAGTTTAACATGTGTGTTGTGAGAGCCATAGAGGAAATATCTCTTCCTTTCAAATTTTTAGAGTTTGATATTACTCCAGGTTTATCCTCTGACTAAACGAAGAATATCTCGAAGCACTTGAAACGCGTTTGATTTTTGGAAATAAGTATGATTGCTGCAATAAGAATCAGTGTCAAATGGTTACAACTTACATATTGTTCTAGCCCGAAGTATATTAAGACATCCTTTGATACGTACCGCTAAAGTTGAAATAGAACGAGTAAATATATGGTGGCGATATCGTTTAATTAAAAGACAATTTTGAAACTGAATTGTATGCGCTTTAGAAGAAAACCATCAACTCGATATACACTCCTTGTCATGTCGATCGACACGACCAGGGAAGGCACTTAATAAAGTGGCGCGGTTATTCAAATATCATCGGAAGGTATCGCTCATGTTGCAACTAATTGTTGTTATTCGTTAGCGAGGAATATCATTTTTAAAGAGCGCGTCTGGTGAGGGCTGCAGAGATTAACTTTCTTGTTTTGTTGTTTTGAATAAGAACAACTTAGGAGACAAAGCAAGCGGTAATTTTCCTTAAACCTAAATTTTGGACATTCGGACAGACCTGCATTTTGCCTATTTCTGACTTTAAAATCGATTCAAATGGGAGTGAGCTCTCAAATTTTCAATATCGGCTAATTTGGATATCAGATATTCTAAATCGGTTGACAAAGAAAAAAGATACGAGGGTCGTTAAAGAAACTTCAAAGTCGATAAAGAGGTTGGATTTCACTTCCGAATCGACCCACAGTTTGTCCTTCATCCTTCCTCACACAAAGTTGTTTTGCCACTATTCTATTAGGACACTGGAAAAAGATGGGACTTCGTGGCGCGATTGATCAAATAACATCGCATTAAGACTATGGTCCCAGGTGTAAAAGCTGACAAACGAAGTGTTGTTTCAAAAAAAAAAAAAAAAAAAAAAAGAGCAGGTTTTCACCTGTGATTAAAAGAGAAACTTTTCAAGCGCAGACTAAGGACATGGTATTACGAAATTCAATTATCATCATCTATAACAGAATGTCGTTTTATGTTTTATTAGCAGTAAATTGAAATATTTCTATACGTCGGGGATTCTATGATGCTGGGACAGGTGCTAGTATTGTTTTCCTTTAGCTCTATGGCTCTAACGCTATCTCTTTGGACACTGTTGGCCAAAAACTTTATAATTTAATCCTTGAAAATTTCTTGGAATAATCCATTCATTTCCTCTCATTCTTTCCAGTACCACGATTGATACACCATCTCGGTCCTTCTGAAATCATTGAAACGATTACGGTTAGAACTCGATGTAAAGAAAATCCTTCCTGCATAGCGTGCTCTTTTAACCTTGCAAATCCTCAAATTTAAAAACGAGCGTACAACCCTGCTTCGGTTGAAAGTTGAGGTGAAGTTGTCACCACAACGACCAAAATGTACTGAGAGACTTTACAATATCAACAACCATAATTCAACTCAGAATGAGCACCCTTCTTTCAAGAGAAAAGATAAAAATTCTGCGATATAACTTTCTGAAAACAGTAACTTTTAGTTAAAGAACCAATCTCGCGACATCACTGTCTTTCAGAATTAATGCAATCTTAGCGTGAGGCCATCGAAATGAAACGTGTCATGAAATAATTTTGACCTGTGTTGGACCGTTTCTATATCGATATTTAAATTTTTTTTCATTGTAAACCTTTTCCCTCTTAGAGTACACAGCAGTGCGTTAACCTAAAATAGTTCCGAAGGATAATATTCTGGATAGGAAGGGAAATTGGAGTTCCGATATAAGACTGTACAGCCGTGCGAAACAATAACCCTTTCCTAAAATTATTACAGCTCCTTAGAGACTGCATAGCTCCATTTTCACAGTTAAGAGGCTGACAAAAGGACATCTAGTCGTGATATCGCATCCCATTCAGTGTCTTGAACGTTAATTAAGTTTCACCTGCAAAGAAAAATTGGCCACCCGCCATTCGGAAGAGCCGTGCTAGGCTTTCGCGTCTACTTTGTTTTATTCCACTATGAAATCAAAACATCTTCCCACTGTTTTATCATGCTCGGAGTCGACACGCAGGGACCGTTTTACAGAAACATAAATCATATAAAATCTATGTCCTCGCTAGAAAATAGGAAATGATCGAATTTTCGTGGCCTCTAAACACAAGTGTTCATGTATAATTAAGAACGGGATTTATAAACCACTATTCTGCAACTGTTGCATACTTCAATCGATTGGATCACACTTGTCCCCGAAAGGAGAAAATATTTTGTTTTACAGTCCCAAAACTAAAACCGCGGAAGAACGACAAAACAGTAAAACTTATTCTAAAACTTAAACCTGACGCTTTTCAGATCAAACATCCGGTTTATCAGGGCAAAAAAAGAGAGATATATCTATATATATCAAACGACACAACGGGGACATTGTTTCACCTTCTTGCAGTGGGTGTAAGATGAGAATTCTCCTTTACGTTAAACGTCGGAGAAGACAATAAGCCAACGCTAAGCCTGTCTGAAACCAGGAAATAAAATAATAGTTTTATCGCAAGTAATAATTAGCGTTAAGCCATAATATCGACGAAAGCGGGTCCAAAATAAGCTGACACGTTTCCCGCACGCGACGAATGGTGTGGATTCCCACTTCGCTTCGATGGAAGGGACTTCAGTCAGAAAATCTTGGCGAAATCTTTAACCCAAAAGTATTGAAGCAAGACACTGTAGTAAAAAATATAATTCATTTGACGTAATACCCCAGGTCCTTATCTAATATCGATACACATCCTGCAGGAAGAAAAATATTATCGACGAATTTCCTTTGGGAACTTTGAGGAGATGACCTCAAGGGTACCTTTTAGGAGCAGAGATTTCAAACAGAGATACTAGAAGTGATAACAATTTACAACGTACGCGTGAAGTGAAGTAACATTTTTAATAAAGAAAACACCTAGATAAAAACAAGAACTTTCAAGCATTTTTAATTAGAATTGGAAGCATTCTATTTCGTTTGTGGAGAAACAGATGAGTCAATGTTGTGGGTGGGCTGGGAAAAAGCGCTGTCACCATTTAAACATTTCTGCCAGTGGTTTTAATTTTTTTCCAGCCCGATGTTTAGTCGAAAATAATCGTATTATGATAGCGATCTTGTAAACACAGAACTTAAAATCAACTGTTTGTACTTCCCATGTGGAGAACAAAGCTCCAGTATGACACCGTCCTGAATTTTGACGGAAAATGTTTAAGAATTGAAGCATAAAAATAGACACGAAGAGGAAATTTTGAAATTCCATTAACCACGAGTTAAATATAAAATTTCAAAACATCCTATGAGTTGATACAATTTCAACGGCATGAAACCAAAAAAATATTCAAAATGAAGAGGGAAAGCCTGGTAGCACACGCTTGGACTGTCATTGCAACCTGCTCCTAATGGCCTGTCAAACATTTCATAAATTATTCATTTCGTTTTCTCTCTCTAATGGAAAGGCACACTTAGCGAGTAAGAATAAAACGTCTCAAATTACACAGTTTTATGGCTTTCTCAAGACAAGGAAAATGTGCAAGTTGAATTAAACAGATAAGTTGTGTACTTTCGCATAACTTCATTTTCGCATGTAATCCTCCTGATAAATAAAACGATTCGCCTTTGAGAACTCTCTTCACGACCGAAAAGGCATCTTTGCTAAATTGCTTTAACAAGCCTATCTGATCTTCAACAAAAAATTAAGTGATGAGATTAACACTGTAGCGGAGCGCGCCAAGTTATAAACACTACCCTGGATTGCCGATGTATTCGTCGCGATTTGCCGGTTAAATTCGAACACCACGCAAAACCTCATGCAAATTGAAGGACAAAAAATGATCTCCGGTAATTTTGAGCTTCCGACTAAAATGCGGGTGAACTTTTTCCGAGAATGTCACGTTTGTAATTAAGGAAAGTCTACGAGCTATACATGACAAAACCTTACATCTTTTAAAGCATTATTAAACATGTTGCTAATTATATTTGGAAAATGTATGTTGTGGTAAATTTTGAGAGATAGTTCACCGTTTAGAATTGAGTAGATAATTTTAGATTCTCAAGATAGAAATACAAATACGTAGCCAAGATTTTAAGAAATCAAAGTTGTAGTTTCCTTTTTCCGATTAATTCTTGTTAGTTCTGGATAAACGGTCTTTTATTCGGCTTCTAGGACAAAATAAGAGTAAAAGTAGTATCCAAACCTTCAATTTTCGCAAACCATTCCTTGGTCGTGATTCGCCTGTGGTCTTAGGGTGAAGGAAAAGGTAAACGGGGAACAAATAGGAAATCGCTCTAACAAAAATTGGATCGGCTCTTTATTTCTCTTTTTTTTTTCAAAACGCAAAGACGAAACAACAATCTGGATAACACCTGGATTAGCAGAAGAAGACAAGCCATTGTTTAACACGTATTTCGTTGATTGGTTTGGCTGTCATTTCGACAACGACAAATTTGCAAAATCAATAAACACTACCTTTGTTCGTGCCCGTCTCTCATAACATTATTAGCCTTCTAAATTAGCATCTTTTGAGTAATAGCGCGATGTAAACAATCTAGTTCTACTCCCTTACGTCTACCTTTCTAAAAGTTGCCATAACAAATAGTCTCGGGTAAGAAATACGATCCAACTATAGGGTTACAAACATAACAATTCATGGCAGATAAGCTGTAGAGTTCAAATTTGTCAGGCTCGCCACCGTATGTAGTTTTTAAGGTAAATAACAATCCAAAAAGCGAGGACGAATGTAATTGCGTTTAAAGCTTGTCGGTAAGCCTTTCTTCTCAAGGACCCATGTTCCAGCGGAAGTGGCAATTTTTGAAGACGCAAAGAAAGCGATTGACATTGTTTCTATGGTGTTTGATTAAAAATCTACTGAAAAAATATAAACCATCTGGATGGCGAGAGTTGGCCAATCACGACTCAGGGTTCAAGTTCTAATCTTAATTTAATAATGACATTGTCACGCCAGTGAATGAAAATTAGTCTGATGGTTAGTGGGTGACATTGGCTTTTTAACTGTGTGCAATTTGATTCCAACCAGCTATAAAGAGCGAGTACCGTCTTAAGTTCAGACAAATAGACAATACAAAGAAGTGAAAGGATAAACTGTAACCGGCAGAGTAACACCCTCCAAACAACAAAGTATGCTGCCAACATTTAGTTTTACACCGGAGCAGGTAGCGTGCGTGTGCGAAGTACTACAGCAGAGCGGAGACATAGAACGTCTCGGAAGATTTCTTTGGTCTCTCCCAGAATGCGAAACCATCCAGAAGAACGAGAGCGTGCTAAAAGCAAAGGCAATGGTTTCCTTCCATCAGGGAAACTTCCAAGAGCTGTATCGCATACTGGAAAACAACACGTTTTCTCCAAGTTCGCATCCCAAGTTGCAGTCGCTCTGGTTAAAGGCGCACTACATCGAAGCAGAGAAACTCCGCGGTCGGCCGTTAGGAGCCGTGGGGAAATATCGTGTTCGACGCAAATTTCCATTGCCGAGAACAATCTGGGACGGCGAGGAAACTAGTTACTGTTTCAAGGAAAAATCAAGGAACATATTGCGAGAGTGGTACTCGCACAACCCATACCCATCGCCTCGAGAGAAGCGCGAGCTTGCTGAGGCAACAGGTCTAACCACTACACAAGTAAGCAACTGGTTTAAGAACAGAAGGCAGCGGGATAGGGCAGCGGAAGCCAAAATAAGGTTTGTGTCTCGCTAGTGTGATGCCCATCTATTTATGGCTTGTACTCATGATCGTTTACCTTCACCTCAGTCACTTTGTATAGCTTATTTTGTCATACAACACTAAATTAGCCAGCCCATATGGGCATAAACTCGCCCTTGCTTGCAAGTTAAACATCATATTTTTAACTTTCAATTTCGCCTTGATCAGAGAATTTATTGAGCTACTCGAGGGTCGGAAGTTGATAAAGCGACTTAAACTGTAACTAGCTGTTCATTTCATGCAAATTTAATTTTCTTCAAGAAGGAGGATCATTTTCATCATACATCAAACATACATGTATACATAACCGCGTGTGCCGAAGCAAAGTGACCACAACACCACGCAATGAGATTTCCGCGTTCACGCTCGTTGATTTACAATCTTGCCAAAGAGAATCGGATACGAGAAAATTCTCATTTGATTTGGCCCTCCTCTTTTGATAACACATTTAAAACAACCAGCTTGCTCGCTAGTCGATTGACAACTTGCGATATGGTTGGCAGCCTCTACTTTCCACAGTGCTTAGGGTTGCATGAGAGGCTTTCGGTCGATATCATTCCCCTCAATTAGTCGCTATTTTTGATCGACAGGGAGACTCGATACTTGCAACGACTTCTTATCACTTGCGATATTAAAGAAGCTTAGAAAGACCGAGTTAAAAAAAATTTAAAAACCGGTGTACAGTAAGACAGAGCGCACATTTATTTAATAAGTGTTCGTGCTTGTTTGTCATCGTAATGGTTGCCTTTGCACGATTTCAAACAGGGAATCAACGGTGGACATAAGAACCAAGCAGATGTTAAACCCTGAGAAGCAGGCGATGCTGAATGACGTGAAAAAGTGTGGTATACCCGACTTCTCCCAATGCATGAATGGATCACATATACCCGGCACTCACACTCCTGTTCCTGTCAAACTAGAAGTGGATGACCCAACTCTAATGGCTGCAATGTCGCATGAGCCTATGGCGCCCGTTTCGGGGACTGAATTCACCCATGGACTTCACGACAGCCACATGCTAACTACGTTAACAAATTCTCTCGTAGGACTCTAAATGCACCACGCTTTAGGAATTGCCAATGAGACTTAAGCCTTTCTGCAGCTGGTTACGTCGTTTGAACGGAAAAGAACCCGTCTTCTTCTCTTGCACGGGAAAATCTTTCCAAATGCCACAGCTTAAAGAATTTTTTTCAGTTTAATAAGATATTTAGCATAGCTTATAAAAGCGTAGTTATATTATAATTAGAAACTAAAGCTAAACCATTGGGAAATTCGACAATAGCTGCCTCGTACTTGGGGCACAATGAACTGTTAAATAATAGCTTCATTCATACGCGAAGTTGTGTACAAGGTAAACACCGACGCAAGCTTATAACCTTGCATGCGTATCACGCTTAAAACCAAAACGTCGGTATTGCGTACCAATAAAAAAGGTCATGTATCTTCAAAAGAATTATGTGTATAAAGCAAATGTTTTCTTGCAGTCATGTTTAAAGTACTATCACCTTGTGTTATTCCATATATTAATCTTGTACAGTATTCTTTCACGAGCGACCAGTTGGTTGAAAGCAACTGTGGCGTCCTTGTTAAATGTCAGACGACTTCGCTGTACACCTTAATTTGCAGTGGAAATAAAAATCCCCAGAATAACATGACGTGTAGTGCATTAGCTTAGCCAACGCGACCTTTCATGCGATAAGTTTTATTATTTTCCGTTAAATATATTCAGTGGTTTCTCGTTTTACATGCGGACATCTTCTCAAATAACGCCATATCACTTTGAGGAAATTGAAAACCATTTAAGAGAACCCACAATATATTCAAGTACGCTGAGTTCACTCAGCGTCGATCGTCTAAAAAGTTAAGAGATTTGTTCGTTCAAAAGGAGAGTGACTTATTTTTAGGGGCTACATGCAGACTTCTAGCCAAATGCACACCGATTAGCTTACATATTGAGAGGTTACTGTAAGTTTGACTTCGTAAATACAACTTGATTCGCTGCGTTAAGGATGTTCCATCATTGTTATTTTTACAATAAATCACAATGAGCGGTGCTTAAGAAGGAAATTTGGGCAATAAAAAGATTGGGTTTCTCGTGCTTACGCGTTATGATTTCAATCAGGGTCCAAGGTCTCAGGATCGAGCGTAGAGTTCTCGCGCTAGTGGCGCCGCTGAGAGGCAAATCGTTCAACCTTTCGCCCTTTCTTTATAGCCGAAACAAGAGCAGAAGAAATAAAAGTAGCTCGAAACAAAAAAAAGTAATTGTTTTATTGTCTGAACAAAAGGCTGACACTAGAGGAGAAGAGGGAAACTTTTCAAATGATTAGCACGCGCGTTGTAAAACTATATTACACCCGTCTGTCCCGTGCGTGGAGCTATGTTTCGTGACTTGGGCGTGGGGGCTCGTCCAAGAGCTCGCTTTATCAAGCGTCATAATCATCGGCGACGACAGAAGCTGGGCGCTAGGCCAGTAAAAATGCAGTTCAGTCCCCCAGGAGGTTCAAACCACAACACTCCTTTATCTTACGCCGTTTTCCCGAAGTGTATTTATTTATCTCGTCCATTTTCACACAAAAGCACCGTAATTCACATGTATCTTGGGCTTTTGTTTGGCGCTCGCATCTCTTTAAATAAAGCAATTAAAGCACAAAAGAAGCATTGTACGCTTTGAATAGCATTTATCAAGCAAGCACATGTCAAAACACATGTTAACAGCAGCTACTATTTTAAGGTTTGAAGCACGCAAAATGGAGTGAAAAGAATTAAAAGCATCGATTCGATTAATGCTTACACAGTTGGAACCTGTGTGATCGCCTGGTGACATGTTTTTACAACGTTGAAGAAAAACACACTGAAGACCAGCTTCAAAAATAAGGCAGATAATAAAGAGAGATTGATTTAAAGAGCAAAATGAACTTTGAAGCTCAGAGGGAGTAGTTACTCTTTCCGCTTTGCCCACGCAGATAAAATTCCATACAGAAGAAAGCTGCATTTGCGACGGGAGAGTACGAGTGGGTGTTTCACCGAGAACTGGGTCACTAGAATATTCGCTGGTTTTCTAACGACAAAATATATTAAGAGGAGACTTAAGGTCTGGATTTTAGGGCTACGGTAACACGATGCTTTTAACCAGTCAGGTTTTGTGTATTCAATTGAGTGGTAATAGCGGAAGCCTAAGAAAGCCACATGATCATATCTGTAATCCGAGTATCCTTTTTCGCCATTCCCGCAAACAAACAAATGTCCCGAAGTGATAAGCGAAGAGCTAATACACACATGCGGTCCACGAACTCAACCGCGGCGGAACCGGCCTTCCAGGCCAATAACAAAAATTAAACCCGAAGAAAATGAAAGAAAAACACACATTTAGCTGTCTTGGTCATTTGTTTATTCGCGTTAAACGTTTAATGCTTTTTTGTTTTTTATTAAGACAGTCGGTTAGTTTGCTCAGTGCATTCCCTTTATTGACGCAGTTAGAGCGGTTACATGGTTACATGATAGCCAGGCACATGTGCCTGAGACTTCTACAAAAATAATGATGTCATAATTTATGAAAAGAAAGGCAAGAGTTGTAAATTCTTTCAGCTTGTTTTCGAAAGTGCTTTCAAGATCTTTGTCAAAGGAGCGGAACCCACATGAGCGGCGCCTGAAACAATAATAATTTAGTGCCGGCGTACAAAATAAATAATAAAAATGCGGTAAGACTAAACACGAATTTTTCTCGTCGAATTCGATTAATTCTCTCTGGGTATTTACTTTACTGCTACACATACAAAATTCCTGCAGACAATGTGACATTAAACTATATGAATAGTTTTCTGGCGGCGCCTGTTACAGGCTTAATAGGTCGGTAAAAAAACACAGAAATAACGTAACATTGTGCGCTGATTTTACTTTCCTTTCTTTACGCACCCGTTCAGCGGTTTTTGTCCATATTTACATTTACTAAACCTTCCTTCAATAAAAGATTGTTCTTTATCGCATTTTCTTTTACCATGGCCGTCTTGGTAAACAGATTTTCCGATTGTATCCTGTTTGCCTAAATCCTCTTCAACACCAATCGGTCGCGATAAATTTACCCTACAAGATACAAAGCGGCAGATTTGAAGAAACAGTAGAAAAATTTTACATAAATCCATTTTGATTGTAAGAGAGGGTACGGAAAACCTATAACTTTTACAGCGCAGACTGTGCGAAGTGCTTTAAAAAAATCAGGGAATTTCCAATACGTGGTAAAATTAGATAAATGGTTTTGATGAGTGATTAGTGATTGTATTTTCTAACCAAACATATACACGCATTGGAAATCAATCAGTGCAGAAAAAGGGAAAAGCCGCTTGAAGAAGCATTCGTTAAATCAGTTCCAGCACTGCTAAGTCAGACGGTTGACTAAACTTCACTTCATGATTTATGATTATTTATATTCAGTGTTCTTTCCTTGTGTCAGCAGTTAACCTGATAAACATATAACACAATTTGTGAGATCAAGTAGGAAGTCATGAATGCCTGCGTTTCTGTCTTGTACCCACCACAATACCACAATATATCCACAACATAGCTTCTCAATAAATACACCGTATTTGTTCACCATAATCGATATTTTATTTTATTCATTTCCCTTTTACGGCATCTATATTTTCTACGGTTTAAGCAGTCTTTTCTATCATTTTCCGATAACTTTTATACAACAGCAAATTTAGCTTAGAAACCGCGAAGGTACTAAAGTTCCAATGAAAACTCCTCCAAACCATGTAAAAAAGATAACGCTTTTCATTTACTTTTCATGGGACAATCTGCAGTGTAAGATTTCTTTTTAAATTCCACGACAAAAGCTTAAAAAAAATAAGCAATACGGTCCAAAATTCACTTACTCGAGTTTCTCGTCATACGAGGATTTGCGTGCGTTTAACCAGCGATTTAAAATAGAAACCCCGTATTTGTCAAGGCGACACCCACTTTTACACGAACAACGTTAATTTAAAGAAAATATTCAGAACGTTGAATGAAATAATGGCTGATGGCGTAAAATGGATTTGAGCTAGAGTAGTTAAAGAGGCAGACGAGTTACCGTGAGATTTGTTTGCTTCAAACAAAGGACGAAGTTTAACTCGTACAATGAACATTAAATTCACATTTGTGGCGATAAGGCTTGAATAACGTAAATTATTCACATTTACAGTTTTTTGAAATAAAGAGAGAATTTTTTTCACCAAAATCGATTTACATCATGATCGAATGCAGCATTAAAACGCTATCAACCCTTTAACTCCCAAGATCTGATTGTTAATTCTCCCCTCTAGCAGCTACACATTTCCTTGTAAATTGTTTATGAGGATTTGGTGTTTAATCAAGAAAATATAATAATGTACGGATACTACTGGGAGAAGTTACATGTTTATCACTTCTGGGAGTTTAAGGGCTCAAAAAATAATAGAGCAAGTTTTTTCGAAGTAACCTCTGACGATCCACTTTTTTCTGTGAACATTCAAACAGAATATCAAAAATGCTAACATGGACAAATGTTTAAAAAGACTTGAAAGCTGTTAACCAGCATGTTTAAGAGCTTTTTGTTGCGTGGCAATTGGAAGACATTAGCGACCGCAAAGTAACCTTAATCAATGACTTTTTCCTTTCACAGTTTTATTACGATGATAAAATATTTACAAAGGAAAAGGAAATGTAATCTACAACATTCCCCCTTTTTATAAATTGGTATCCAGGATGAAATTACAACATAACGCTTAACGAAAAGGTGTCAATTTTTGTGAGTGAGCTTCATGGAAAAACAAACTTTAATTTTGAAAATGCGAAAGATGTTATTTGTTCAGTGTCCCTCCTCTTTTTTATCAAGTACAAAAACACAATGCCACACTGTTTCCTTTTGTAAGGTTGTACTTTAAAGTTTCTGTTAGCTTTGCTCACCTTTTGCGAACAAGCACAGGCGCAGAAAACAATAACTGCGAAGGATTTAGCAACAGCACTTTGTCACCTCTATAGGACTATTCCCTTCATCCTTGTCAGTCTGTCCCGTGCAAAATTCTTGAAAATAAGACAGGTTACCCTAACAACAAACCATTTTCAATAACACACTACCCAGTCCTTTTCAAACAAGTTATTGGGACGTGATTTTCCACTGTGGACGACAAATGTTCAGTTTACAAGAGTCATGGCATGGAAAATTATGTCATCCTACTATTTGCCATGCACGCTTCTTTGAATATCATCGAATGACAGCACGTATCCATGGGGAGATAACTTTCTTTATCCAGGGCCCGGCAATGTCGCCAGTAGAATCTTAAACAAATGTAAATGAGTATTGTACCGGCAAATGTAAATTCAATACGACAAGATAGACGTTTTGCGTCTTAACATTCTGCCCTTTATGCCACAGCTTAGCTTTTGCGCCCAGCTGCATTCTTTCAGAAAAAAATACCCATCCCGATAATGGCAAAATCGCAAACGAGGTCTTTCCTCGTTGATTTAATTCCCAGGGTAAGAACGGGGGAATAAAAAAACACAAAACAAACCGTCAAGTAAAGTAAAGGATCAAAAGACTCGACTCTCTCTCTGTATGTGGTTCAAACTAAAGTCGAAAAGAGGCATTTACCGTTGATTTTACAAAAATCTAGTGAGAGAACTACGACAAATACGGATGAACTTCCAAATTTCTCTTATGCAAAGGGGATTACATGAATGTCAATTAAACTCGGATTAATAACTGAGCGTTTTAATTTATTTTTTCTTTTTCAGTACATTTAGTATATTTTTCCCATAGTTCAATACTTTAAGATTACAAAAAATAAAGGCAAGGTCGGTGGATTCCATGCATTGATGCCCCAACAGCTAATAGAATCAGGCAACAAACTTTTAGATGAGAAGAGGATTTACATCAATGAAGAAGAACAAGTAAAATAAGAATCAATGTACTAAGGTTCTACTTTGGAGAGAAAAGTAAATAGAAAAGCAAGGTGTTAATGTGTGTTTCACGCACGGGAAATAAGGGAGGTTAATCTCCAAAATAAAGTACGCATCATTAACCATAAAAACTAACAAGAAGAGAGAGGGACCAAAGTTCAATAGAACCAATCAAGTATAAAAGCAAGATACTTTGTGGGAAACATAACGTAAACTAGAGTTAGACTTTATCAAAAGCCGAAGTTGGTCCTGTCTGTTGAAAAATAATTCAGCTAAAGATAAATTAAAGACAATCAGTTCT